GATTTTTTAAAATAGGCATGATGGTGGAAGAAAATAAGAAGAAACTAGAGAGGAGCATATGGGGATGGGTGGCAATTGGGGCGGTTGTGGTGGCATTGGCCATGGGGTTTTTGCATACCCACAATTACAAGTCCTGCACATGCTCCCAGGTTTTTCCTGTCTGATCTCCTCTATAATATCATGACGAATTCTTTATTTTCTTTTTTGATACAATTTTTCCGATAACTAATAATCCAATTGTAATAACATAGATGAAGAAGCAGAAAATAACTTCTGATTACAGCATCTGATTACAGCAATATGAACTTGATAACAAAGAGAGTTCAGAGATACACTTGTTCAATTCAAAGTAATTAGAAAAACAAACAAACAAGGTGAAAATAGCGGTACGACTGCACCGGCATATGAATCGGCCACACCTGGAATAGAGAATACCCTCTTAGTTAGGGAGGAAGTTGCTAAATGAACAGAGGATGAGTAAGAGGAATTACCTCATTACACACCATGCCCCTTTCTTCTTCTCTTTTCTTCTCCGGTATAAGAAGGTTGTTCAAAAGGTCAAAGGTGCAGGAGTTCGTTCAAGCCGTTGCAGATTCACTAGTGCAGTAAAAATAACAACTAAATAACCCATAATTAATAGTATTCATTATGTGTAAATAATATATATTTAAAAGGAATAGGGAACAGCCACTACACTACCTTCCCCTTAAGAAGTTGACTTGTCCTCAAGGCAATGCAAAATCTGGAAACTGTAACTTCATCACATTAGCTCGTTCCCATGTAGCGTCTTCTGGTAGCAGATTACTCCAATGGACCAGGACCCTCCTTTTCAAGCCTCTGGCACACTTTGACCTCCTGGGTGTCCAAAATTGCCAATGGATAAACTTTAGGACACCCATTCTGATCAACTTCTGGCAGAGTGGGATTCACACTGTATTTATTTTTTATTTTTCCCTTAAGTAGTGAGACATGGAACACATCATGAATTCTAGAATTCAGAGGTAGTTGCAGTTGATAAGCCACTGCCCCAAGGCCCCCAATCTTTCGGATGATCTGATATGGACCAAAGTATTTTATAGAAAATTTCGTTGGTCTTCTGAGCAGCGTGTTCCCTTGTTTAAAGGGTTGGATTTTAAAAAAGAACCCAATCTCCCACTTGAAAGGATCTCTCTGTTCTCTTTGAATCAGCATACTTCTTCATTCTCTCCCGAGCCTGAGACATATGTTCCTTAAGGTTTTGGAGTACTTTTTGCCTCTCTTGTACCACTTGCTGTGCAGAATGATTGGATGTCTGCAAATAAGGTCCAACCGACAGTTGAGGCGCTTCATATCCATAGAGAGCTTTAAGAGGAGTCTCCTTAATGGAATGGTGGTGACAAGTGTTGTACCACCATTCTGCAAGAGGCAGCCACTGATTCCACTTTTTAGGGTGATTGTGAGTCATGCATCTTGGATAGGTTTCTAGACACCTATTAAGTCGCTCCGTCTGTCCATCACTTTGAGGGTGATGAGCGGTATTCATACATAGCTTAGTTCCTTGCAATTTGAAAAACTCTTTCCAAAAAGAACTCTGAAAAGCCACGTCCCGATCACTTACTATAGACTCTGGGGTTCCATGGAGTTTATAGATTTGTTTCACATAGATGTCAGCCAATTTCTCCATTGTTTAATGGTGAGATAATGCAATGAAATGGGCGTACTTTGTGAGTCTATCAACAATTACCCAAATCACATCCTTCCCATTTGATTTAGGCAATCCCATGATAAAGTCCATGGAAATTTGAGTCCATGGTGCTGAAAGAATCTCCAGGGGTTGCAGAAGTCCAGGATAAGCTACCGCATCATCCTTGCATTGCTTACATTTGTTACACCCCGGTACGTACTCGGTGATATCTCTTTTCATTCCCTTCAAATAAAAAATCGCCTCCCCCCTTATGTAACTGGAATGGATCCCCGAATGCCCTCCCATGGCCAAAGCATGTATGGTGTGCATGATTTTAATTCTTATGCTGTTCGACCGGCCCACTACTATTCTGCCCTGGTATTTGAGGATGCCTTCCATATAGGAAATAAGTATTGTCCTTAGTTGATAGCAGGGTTTGAGCAATTAATTCAGATATCTCTTCATCATTCTCATCACTGGAGATAATTTCCTCAACCCATTGTGGCTGAATATGCGTGAGGAGGGAACACATGACACTACTGGACAAGGCATCCGCCACTACATTAGCCTTCCCCGGCTTGTATTCAATAGTTAAATTGTATCCCATCAGCTTATATAACCACTTTTGTTGTAAAACATTGACAATCTTCTGCTCCTTTAAGTATTTGAGGCTTAGGTGATCTGTTCTAATAATGAAAGTCGCCTCCATCAAATAACTGGACCATTTCCCTACCGCAGACATAATGGCCAGCAATTCCTTTTCATAAGTGGACAACACTTGATTCCTCGAACACAAAGCCTGGCTGAAAAAAGCAATAGGCTTCTCATTCTGTAACAACACGGCTCCTGTTCCAGTCATGCTAGCATCTGTTTCCACTACAAAGGGCTCTTGGAAATTAGGTAAGGCTAATACATGAGCTTCAGTCATGCATTTCTTGAGAATCTCAAATGCCAGTTGGGCAGAATTATTCCACACGTACCTTCCCTTCTTTGTTAAGTCAGTTAATGGCCTAGCTATAGTGCCATAGTCTTTGATAAACCTTCTATAATAACCCGTGAGTCCCAGAAATGCCCTCAAGGCCTTAAGAGAGGTCGGTTATGGCCATTATACCATCGCTTTTACCTTTTCTGGATCTGTGGCCACCCGATATTTGCTAATAGTGTATCCCAGATAGTCCACGTGAATACGCGATTGAGTCTAAAAATACATTTGGACCTTTTTGTATATAACTGATGTTCCCTGAGCACCTGCAGAACCTGCCTCACATGTTGACAGTGTTCCTTCATGTTCTTACTGTAAATCAAGATATCATCAAAAAATACCAACACAAATTTTCTTATATACTTGGCAAATATCTCCTTCATCATTTTTTGAAAAGTAGCTGGAGTGTTGGTTAGGCCGAAGGACATAACCTTAAATTCGTATTGCCCATGAACGTAATCTATCTTCCTCTCTGAGTCTGATCTGAAAGTAACCCTGCCTTAAGTCCAGCTTTGAAAATATGGCGGTCCCATGAAGTTCTGACGGTAAATCTTCAATCACCGAAATTAGCTTTCCGTAATCTATGCACATGCTATAACTATTGTCCTTTTTCTTGATTAACAAAACTGATGCAGCAAACGGGCTGGAGCTTGGCTCTATGATTTCCTGATCTAGCATCTCATTCACTAGTTTCTCCACTTCATTCTTTAAGCTATGAGAGTGTCTGTATGGTCAAGGAAACCGGGTTGGCACATTCCTTTTACTCAATCTTGTGCAGTTGTGCTCAATTTTCCTGGCTGGAGGCAGCCCCTTTGGTTCACTAAACACATCTCTGATACCAAATGTTGTGACCCAAGACACCAACTGATTAGAGCAATATGAACTTGATAACAAAGAGAGTTCAGAGATACACTTGTTCAACTCAAAGTAATTAGAAAAAAACAACAAACAAGGTGAAAATAGTGGTAGGACTGCACCGGCATATGAATTGGCCACACCTGGAATAGAGAATACACTCTTAGTTAGGGAGGAAGTTGCTAAATGAACAGAGGATGAGTAAGAGGAATTACCTCATTACACACCATGCCCCTTTCTTCTTCTCTTCTCTTCTCCGGTATAAGAAGGTTGTTCGGAAGGTGCAGGAGTTCGTTCAAGCCGTTGCAGATTCGCTAGTGCAGTAAAAATAACTACTAAATAACCCATGGTAAATAGTATTCATTATGTGTAAATATATATATATATATATATATATATATATATATATATATATTTAAAAGGAATAGGGAATAGCCACTACAAAACTTAACTTAAATTTAATTATTTGTAATATGTTTTTTTTGTCCCTGAGCAACCACACGAGGTGGGGGAGTGCTGGGGAACACTTCCCAATTTTATTAATTAAAATTTGGAATATGGTTTCAATGTCTAATTATTTGTAATGTTGACAGAGTAAAGGAAGGGGTTGCTGAAGTGTGAAAATTTAATCACCCTCACCATTACTATAAGCAGCTTAATCCCATCGAGCAGGAGTCCGTGTAACTAAATATATAGTTCTAGTTAACTGTTAAAGTTTCAATGTGTTGGAGAATAATAATAATAATAATAATAGAGCAGAACTCCTTGGTTTGGTCTGCCAAAGAGACTATTTATTCTTGAGGCTGTCCAATAAGATTATCAATTAAGACTTATATTCATATCAGCATTGTGCTAGTAGAAGTTTACAGAAGAGGGAAAAGTATGATTGAGTCTGGTCGAGTGATTGATGTTAGATGCTATATGGTCTTTAATGCAGGATTCTAGAAAATATACAGGGATTGTTGAAGATTGCTGTTGTGATTATGAAACAGTTGACAGTCTTAATGCAGCTGTCCTCCATCCTCTACTCCAAGAGCTTGTCACAACTCCATTCTTTCGATACTTTAAGGTACGTTGCAGTCTTGCAGAGAGGGGCATATTTGCAACATATACATTTCTCTAATGAGAAATATCCTGTAATATGACTGAAATATATGATGTTTCCCTAGATATGACCACCACCATAATTTTATTGTAATCTTTTCTATTAATGGTCTTCTTTATTTCATTAGTGATAATCCTAATCTCTGGCCAAACAGATAGCTTCTTGGTAATAAAAATATAGTAGTCATTTTTGAAGAAAGTAGTTATGTTTTGTCTAATTTTGGGAAATTATTTATTTGTTAACCAAGGTATGCCAACTAGGCTGAAGAGTTAATAGTACCAAACAATAATTCTGCTTGTGTTAATGTGTGACATAGAGTGTGACCATTTCATTTTCCCTTTCACCCTAAATATTTCCACAGAAGATATGCCCTCTTAATTAAGGGCTGAGAGCTGCATGGTTTTCAGATTCATTGGTGAGGTCTTTTCATCTTCTGAGTCCCCTGATTCTACTTCAGTTCAACTTCACCTTCAGATTTTTCCATTAGTTTTATCTTATAATTTTTCATCTTGCACACATGTCCCCTATCCCAATTCTCTCCGCATTTGAAACATAGTCCTTTCTTACTTCTTTCAAGCAACTCTTCTAGTCTTCTTGTGATAATCTAGGGCCATTTCTTTTCTGGTTGGGATCCATCACCTCAGGGTAGCTTTTGTTGTCAATTGTCACCTTTCCCATATTAACAGGCTGGTCAGGATGACTCTTCCATCTGCTTCCTTCACTCCAATTTTGGCCTGAATTCTGAACATTGTACTTGCTCTGTCCTTTATTCTTTCCTTCCTCTCTATTTTTCATAAACAAAACTTCAGTGTTCTTGTTCTCAATGAGGGATACCTTTTCCATAACTTCTGCCAAAGTTCGTGCGGAATGTAACTTCAGCTCAGCTCGTATATCACGCTTTAAACCTTTCAGAAAAACTCCTTTCAACACCTCTTCAGTCAAATGGCCATGTGAGGCTATAGCTGTCTCAAACTGGTCTCTGTACTCCTGGATAGTCCCTTTTTGCTTTAAACTGAACAAGAGCCCCAACGGATCTTGAACCAGGTTAGGTTGAAATCTTCTTGTCAAAGCATGGGTAAAGGATTCCCAATTCTGATGCTGTGCTTGTCCCTCCCACCACTGGAACCAGCTGAGAGCTTGGTCTTCCATGGCGATGACTGCCACATCAATTTTATCTTCGTCCTCCGTGTTATTCAGTCTGAAGTAGCGATTCATCCTCAACAACCAACCACAAACATCCTCTCCGTTAAAGATTGGCATATCAATTTTCCGTCCTGTGTGATGGTGATGTCGTTGTTTCCGATGAGGATCGCGATTATGTCGCGATGTGGAATGGCTAGACGAACTGTCTGAACTGTCGTCCTTCTTCGCATGTTTGTGTCGCGACTGATGCTGTTGAGAAGTGCGATGCGATGCCGATGTGCGATGCGATGCAGATGATCGATGCGACGCAGATGAGCGATGCGACCTACTTCTCGATCAATCTTGATCTTTCGCATCCAATCTGGCCATAATCGCTGCCAACATATCCGTAGTCTGTTGCTGATTCCGATCCATCTTCTCCTCCAGTCGGTTTTGGTTATCTTCCAACTCAGTCATCCGTAAATCCATTTTTGTCTGTGTCCACAGAATCTACCGTCTCTGATACCAATGATAAGATCCTCCAAGAAATCAGAAATTTACAGAAAGATTAACAAGAAAACAGATGAACACTATTGATGATGATGAACAATTACAGATGAGAACGAGAAATTCTGGCCGAAGCCCCCAATGAGCCGAAGCCCCCCAAAGAAAGAGAATAGCTCTCGATCTTCCCAAGTCCCAAGACTATCCGTCTAAAAGCCTACTCTACCTGCCCAAGCTTATTCTATTTATACTCAACTTGTACATTTATTATTATTAATACTCTATTGGGCCGGGTCTTTAACAGATAATCAGGTGAAAGTACCTAATGTAGATAAGATGTAAGAGTCTTGGTTGCGGTAGTTTGGTCTTGTCACTTGTGTGTAGAAGACCGAGTGATGCACGGCTTAGAGGTGGGAGGAGGAGGGAGGAGAGGGGGAACGACAGACTGGGGTGAATTTAAATCATGATGAATAATATGACACTACTTGGCTGATGTGAGTATGAGTTCAGAGAGTGAAATGGAGGGGGAGCATACGTGTGGATGGTTAATCTTATATTATTTGTCTCCCTCTTTCTCTGTCTAATTTTTTTAAGTTTGATGTTATACGTCGTTTCATGTTAGCCGACTCCAAATTCTTCTTGGACATAAGACTTGAACGTTGTTGTTGCATTTTTTTAATATGCAAGTTTCGTGTTATGAAGTGCATATTATTATAATATGGCAGGTGAAGCTATGGTGTGACTGCCCTTTTTGGCCAGATGATGGTATGTGCAAGTTACGTGACTGCAGTGTGTGTGAATGTCCAGAGAATGAATTTCCAGAGCCTTTTAAGAAACATGGGCTTCCCTTTGATGATCTAAAATGTCAAGAGGGAAAACCACAAGCAGCTGTTGATCGCACTCTAGACTCGAAGGCTTTTAGGGGCTGGATGGAAGTAGATAACCCTTGGACACAAGATGATGAAACTGATAATGGTAATGGTAATTTATTGGCATGCCTTTCATTGATACACAATAGAAATGTCATCTGTCTCTTAGGGTATGTTTGGAAAAAGGCCAAGGAATGTTATTTATCTCCTGTTTGGTTTCATCTAGGAAAATTCAGAGGGGAATCGAATATGATTAACATATACTTTTTTACATATGTTTAAAGTTTATAATTTTTATTAAAATAATTTGTTGAGTTCGTGAAAATGTTTTATTTGTCTCTACATTTCTTCTCTTCCAGTTTTTCACTACATTTCCCATTTTCTTTCTATAGCATTTTCCGAGTTCCAAATGGACCCTTCTTTATCTTCATCTTTTTATATGTCAATTATTTTATCAATAGTTTTTTTTTTAATTTTTTTATTTTATCAATAGTACTTGGCAGTGCTGACACTTTCCTTTTATTAATCTCTCACTACATTCTATTTTCAATCATAATCTTGTTTGTTTTGGTAAACTATGCACTTAAATGTTACTTCTTCTGTCCGACTGTCCCAAATTGACGATCCTATACTTTTTTGAGTTCAAATATTAAGAAAGTGTGGTAGAATGACCCATATAACCTTACTTTTTATACTGTTCATTCATTTACTTTTACTGTTCATAAAAAGGAGGGGTATAAATGGTAATCTACTATAATTTCCTTACAAAATGGGAAACATGACTATCGTTTTGGGACAGCCAAATAGGAAATCATGATCATCATTTTGGGACGGAGGTAGTACACATTATAGCAATTTTTCTTGAGGACTTTCAGACAGCTTGGCAGCTTGCCTTTAGCACGAGTGATATGCAATATACAATGAAATGACACTGATGATCTCTTTCCTGACAAGCATTGTCTCGCAGGTGAAATGACCTATGTAAATCTCTTATTGAACCCTGAGCGATACACAGGCTATACTGGACCATCAGCCCGAAGAATATGGGATGCAGTTTATTCAGATAATTGTAAATGTGAGTTTTAACCGCTTAAGCTTCCAAACACTATCTTTGTCCTGATGTATTGCGGCCAGTGAATAGCGTTTTCAATGCTTATTTATATTTTTCATGTGATAGATGCACCTGGAGAGATATGCGAGGAGAAAAAAGTGCTTTATAAGCTAATATCTGGTCTCCACACATCTATTTCAACACACATAGCTGCTGATTACCTACTTGATGAAACTAAAAATTTGGTTGGTGCTTTAGTTTTAGCTCCATCTTTTATTTGTATGTGTATTTAAATCGACCTATATTTTCCATATGCTCTTCCAATACTGAATTTTATTCCTCAGAAAAGTAGATATCTTCCTTTGATAGAATCTAAAAAGAGACCTTGCATGGAGTCATGGTCCTTAGGCTCTGTTTGGATTGACAGTTTTGGAGGGGAAGTCTTTGTAGGGCTAGTCTAGTCTATATTATTCATTCTCTGTCTCATTATATTAGTCTATTATCATTCACTAGTTATTTTTCAGTTTGTCTACAATTATGTACATTTTTCGTTTTTTGGACTCCACTTATTGTCTAGTTTTTCAAACTTTATTCTCTCTATTTGACTTTTTTTAATCCGGTGGGCAAACCACCTAAGTCGGTGGGGCAAATGTCGCAGAACATTTGCCTATCATTGCTTTCTTATACGTCCAAAATCAAAGGAGACCTAAAAATTGGCAAAGAGGTAATACATATCTGAGATTTTTCTAAAAATTGTAAGGCTTACATAATATGTGATCATATAACATTTCAATTACCTTCTATCTGTTATAAGAAACAATCTAGTTAATTATTTATCAGGATATAGGCTAGGCCTCCACAGCATTCCTCTCCAAAACACTCCACTATTCCATGCAAACACTCTTTCATTTCCTTTTGAAAACCTCCTTTTTTTTGCTTTGTTAAGATCCTAACGTTGTTCATACACTTTTCAGTGGGGTAGAAACCTGGATTTGATGTATGATCGTGTTCTGCAATTTCCTGACCGTGTCAGAAATCTGTATTTTACTTTCCTCTTTGTTCTTAGAGCCGTGACAAAAGTAAGTGCCCACCATTTATATGGTAAATTGCTAATATAAGAATCACGGTTGGCATATTTTCTGGTTTCTTACTTCGTCTTTGATATGACACTTAGGCTACTGATTACTTGGAGCAAGCTGAGTATGACACAGGTAACCCAGTGGAGGACCTGAAAACACAGTCTCTCATGCGGCAACTTGTTTACAATGAAAAACTACGAAAAGCTTGTCCGGTTCCATTCGACGAAGCTAAACTCTGGAAAGGCCAGAGTGGGCCTGAACTAAAGCAGCAAATTCAAAAACAGTTCAGGAATATCAGGTTGTTTTTGCCTAAATGGAAACTAATTTGCATTATCCATTCATCATGACTTAGGCTCGGTCTTTTTTCCTGGGAAATAACTAATTTGCATAAAATGTTTTTCGGGAAAAGTTTTTCATCTGAAAATATATTTTGAGGAAAATGCTTGTTTCAGGAATAGAAATTATAAAAAAAATTCAGGAAAATGACCTCTCGTTTTGATTCTATGGAAGCGTTTTTCTGTTCCGAACACAAGGGCCTTAAAACATTTACCACCACCGTCCCTAAAAAAGAATCATGTTTGTATAACTAATTAGGATAACTGATTCTGATTTGTAGTACAAACACGGTTCTTTTTTTGGGTGGGGGATTAACTAAATTACTAATGGGGGAATATATAAATTGCAGTGCTCTAATAGATTGTGTAGGATGTGAGAAATGCCGCCTCTGGGGGAAGCTTCAAGTTTTAGGCCTTGGAACTGCCTTAAAAATCCTCTTCTCCGTGGATGGTCAGAAGCACCCAATGCCACCGGTGAGCTTACCTGGAGTTGTTTTAGGAAAAAATATATCACCACACAAACTCGTATCTCAACATTTCTGTGTTTAACAGCTGCAGTTGCAAAGAAACGAAGTCATTGCCCTGATGAACCTGCTGAATCGCCTATCAGAATCACTCAATTTTGTCCGTGAAATGAGTCCACACATTGAGAAATCATTGGAGAGACTTGTTTCTGATCATTCCGTCTCAGTAATTAGTTCTTGGCGAAAAGCAGTGGAAGCTGTAGTAGGGATTCGGTAGGAAACTACTTTCAACTCTTTCGGGTCCATTTTGGAACCCTGGGAAAGAAAATTAGGGAGAAAATAGTAAGGAAAACTAGAATGATTTTTGTTTTTGTTTTGATTGGGAAAATATATCAGATTTAGACCCAAGGCCTAAAATAAATTTATATCCTCAAATTTGATTTATTTGTTTATTACTGAACACAGGCAGTATATAGACTTAAGAAATATAAACAGACACGCATCATGTGAAGTTTTTTTATAATGTAATCTTATTGCATTTTCATTTGTATTTTTCGAGTCAAAACCATGCATGAGAAATTAAGATTCCTTGTTTTTTTTTCCTTTGCCTAGTACTTTTCTGGATCCCAACATACCCTTAATGTTTTACATCACGTCCTGATATAAGACTTGATAAATCAGACCAAGATGATATAACGCATGTTTCTTTTGTTTCAGGTCAAGGAGCTCTACCACGTGATGATCATCCGCCGTGCTTGGAATAGATTTGAGTACCCATTAATACCACAATTGGGAACATATTCATAGAACTTTAATATTTTATTAGACTGTAACAAAGAGAGGTATCTTATGTATGTATAGGCATGGCTGTAAGCAGAACATGAGAGATTACAAAGGTCAAAATTGAGGAACCATTTGTGTCATTTGATGCGCTTTTGTACAGGTGGCTCAAATGTGGTTTTTGAATGTAAGATTGTAAGCTGTTGTTGAAATTTGTTGGGAATGAAATTACTACCCATACTTTGATGTTTGGCCTATTTGTTGCATTTAACAAACTGCAGGAGAAAACAGTGTTTGTAGCCAACAAGATTGAAGCATTGTTATGAAATATATGAAGGAATAGTATCTTCAAAAGATCACTGATGGTTGTACTAAAAAAAGGATGACACCCCATCCCTGAGGGCCCCCCAACACCGACCGGACAGCACAATGGGAGGATGTAAATTGGACTATAATCACAATCTGACAGATAGAGAGTGGGGCTCTGTCCCCGGTACTTGCAGAGGCCCTATGCATTTTTCAGCATAGTAACCCCTCATCGCAGTTGCTGGGATTCGAACCCGAGACCTAACCCTTGTGGCACTCCCTCGCTACCAGTTGAGCTACGCCCACCGGTTGTACCGCTGATGGTTGTACTATATTCTATGTCACGCTGCCACTAAAAACAAATTCAAAAGGCCTGAAAAAGTTAACACTAAAAACTACGGAGTATTTTTTTGTGGCACTAATTTATAGAGTACCGGTACGGCAGTACCACCTAGGGATAGACCGGGACGAGCCGGCCTGACCCAGAACCTGGCCTGACACTATGAAGGCCTGACTCGGCCCGATGAACCAGGACTGGGGCCCAACTTGGGGTGTTTAACAGGTGGGCTACGGGCTTTGATTTTAGTGGACCGGCCCGGGCCTGGGCCCGATTTTTATTTTATTTTTTTGGCATTGGTCTGCTTGCTAGGTGGGTGGGGCTGGGTGGTTTGGGGGGTGGGGATTGAAATTAATTCGAAAATACCCAAAACAAAAATTGTAGCCCGGCTTGGACCGGTATCGGGCTTGAATATTTTGGACTGGGAGCCCGCCCAAACTCGGAGCCCAGCCTGGTTCTGGTCCTAGTCCATGCCTAGTACCACCGTTGCTCTTGAAGATATAAGGATTACAAGGTGACACATTAAAAAAAGAGAAAAAGGTCAAATAAGGCTTTCTACAATTATGAAATTGTCACAAAAGGTCATGCACTCAATAAAGTGTCATATAAATGTGTTTACTTATAAAAAGCAATCGAATGAGTAAAAATGACCCTTTGACAACCTCGTGATCCCTGTTTTAGTGTACGTCTAACTATCTTTTTAAAATAGATTATATGGTTGATGTGGAATATTTATATATGATTGACTTAAATACAAGATAAAAATAACGACATGTGAGCTAAAGTCGCGATTAAGAGGTTGTAAACGGGTCATCAAGAGTCATCTGATTGCTTTTTATAAGTAGATCTATATATATGACATTTTATTGAGTATATGACCTTATGTCATAATTTCGTAATAGTATAAAATTTTATTTGACCCCTTTCTCTTAAAAAGAATTACAAAGGTATGTTGGCTTTGTTCGGAACTCGAAAAATGGCAAGAAAAATAGAAAAATACCCAGGAATTTTTTAAATATCTGATTTTACTTTAAAATATATAAAAGAAAATCAAATTTGTCTAACGACTTATTATATTTCATAATCATTACATAATAAAAGCATATAAATCAATAATTAAATATGTGTGCAAAACTTTTATTCACACTTAATTCATTTCATTTCACACAATAAAGCATATGTTTTTGGGATTGAATTTTGTTGATTTGGTTATTTAGTTTGTTCTACTCCAATTTAATTTAATTTAGTAGTTGTAAACATTAGTGTATTTTGAAGAAAATAGTTGTGACTTTTTGAAAAAAAAATTGTTAATTAGAATATAATGTTTATTGTCTCTATAAGTATTTTATGTAATTAAAAAATAACCCAAACTGAAAAACAATAAAAAGTCAAACACAAACGCATTATTGTTTGATTTGGCTGTGTTTACTGCAACCAACTCCTAAACCTCGGCTTAAGTTTGGGCTAAAAGTAAGACTTGGCTGTTTGGGAAAAGGAAAATGAGATCACAAGTAGGGAAATGTAAAGTGATAAAAATTAAAATATAGGATAATTAATTTCTAACCATTGTTCATTAAAATTTCCTTAGATCTAAATGTACGAGGATCACAAACAGTACCTGATCTTAGGATTCTTAGCTCTAAGCTAAGCTTGCCGTCTTCATTCTTTCATTTCACTGTTCATGGTCTCTTTCACTCTATCATCCTTAATCAGAGAATCAACGTCATAATCAGCGAGAATTCTAACAAGGCGAATCCCACCCTCCTCTCCGTCAGTCCGTTGCCAGATCCATCCAGGTACGTTGTTATTGGTTAATCTATCTACCTACTTTAATTGCAGCAACTAGTTCTGAAATGAAAAACTGTTAGATCCATGTGAATTGATGATATCCGGAAATGCAGTCATTTTCCGTGTTTGTTTGGGAGATTCTGCATTTGCGGCATGTTTTAAGCTGCCTTCCCCTGCTGGGTTCTGACATTGCTTCGATTGCATTGCATTTTTACTTTTACTTTGGTGCTCCCTGTTTCCGCTTTAATTCATGTTGAAAATTTGATGTTGAATTTGCAGATTCATGATTTCTGCACCATTACTGGCGGTTTAGATCCAGTGGGGGCTTAGCGATGTTGTTTTTATCAATCTCGAGGGGATTCTCCTCAGCTTTGTTATATCTCATTCTCATTTCACACTTTTGTAATGCTTTTTATTTGCCGGGCACATACATGCATACATACTCCACTGGTGATGAAATCTATGTTAAAGTGAATTCATTAACCTCAATTGAGACGGAACTTCCCTTCGGCTACTATACACTTCCTTACTGCAAACCTCCAAATGGAATCAAGAAAAGCGCTGAGAATCTTGGAGAGTTGTTGATGGGAGATCAGATTGATAATTCTCCCTACCGTTTCCGGATGAATGTGAATGAGTCAGTTTACCTCTGCACTACTCCACCATTGAAGGACCACGAAGTGAAGCTCTTGAAACAGAGGACACATGATCTTTATCAGGTAAATATGATTCTTGACAATTTGCCTGCTTTGAGGTATGCCACTCAGAATGGAATGACGATTCAATGGACAGGATATCCTGTTGGTTACACATCACCAAGCAGTAATAGTGAAGATTACATTATCAACCACCTGAAGTTTAAGGTTTTGATCCACGAGTACGAGGGAGCTGGAGTGAAGATAATCGGTACTGGGGAAGAAGGTATGGGTGTTATAACAGAGACTGATAAGAAGACGACTGCTGGTTATGAAATTGTTGGCTTTGAGGTTGTCCCTTGCAGTGTGAAATATGATCCTGAAAAAATGGGCAAGCTTCACATGTATGATGCCACTGCGTCAATACAATGTCCACTGGCGATTGACAAGTCTCAGGTTATAAAGGAGCAAGAGAGGATATCATTCACTTATGAGGTTGAATTTGTTAAAAGCAATGTCAGATGGCCATCAAGATGGGATGCATATCTCAAGATGGAAGGTGATCGTGTTCACTGGTTCTCTATTCTCAACTCCTTGATGGTGATCGTCTTCTTGGCTGGAATCGTTTTTGTTATCTTTTTGAGAACTGTCAGAAGGGATTTAACAAGGTATGAGTTTAGCTAGGAGTGTAAAAAAATCAATTTAATTAGTAAACCATATTATTGAAATATACTCCCTCCATCTGTCTTCATAAGATATCGACCAAATCACACCGTTTAAGAAATGCATTGTTTGAGTGGTTAACTTAAAAAAATATTTTACCTAAAATACATCATTGAATACGAAATCATTTTAATTAGAATTTAGAAAACTTGGTGAAAATGTAGTTTGCCAAAAAAGGACAAATGAAAACGAAGAAGGAATTTCGGTCAGAAAGAGCCTATTTTCTTGGACTTATGTCATTCCCAGGTTATAGAACAACAACATTCCCAGATTATACTCGTAATAAAATAATAAAATACACATTATCAAATCAAAAGATAGCAGACCAGACCAATTTAGACCGGAACACACATAAACAGATGATCTAGACCAAAATTAATAGGATCGGACTAGACTAGGTCAGACCACTTATGAGCAAACCAGTAAATTTCAGTCCTAATGAACAGGTCCTAGAGACATATAAATAGGAACAAGGAGAGTATTTGAAGCGATTTGAAGTGCTAATACTTGATACTTGGATATTAATCCATTTGAATATACTGGTAAATGTATTTGATTTGAAAACAATTAGAATTGAAATATATATTTTCAATCATATTTAAAATGTAATCATGATTTGAATCAAGAGTCTTAATTGATTTTTTACAACCCCTAGGTATGAGGAATTGGACAAAGAGGCTCAAGCCCAGATGAACGAGGAACTCTCTGGGTGGAAGTTAGTGGTTGGTGATGTGTTCAGAGAACCAAATCACTCCAAGCTACTCTGCGTTATGATAGGAGACGGGGTTCGTATAACAGGAATGGCAGTTGTGACTATTCTTTTTGCAGCCCTTGGTTTTATGTCACCAGCTTCTAGGGGCATGCTGTTAACAGGGATGATAATGCTTTACCTGTTCTTGGGAATATCAGCTGGTTATGTAGGAGTCCGGCTATGGATAACCATCAAAGGGAATCCAGAGGGATGGAAGTCGGTTTGTTGGGCGAGCGCGTGTTTCTTCCCGGGCATCGTTTTTATAATACTCACGGTTTTGAATTTTATTCTATGGGGAAGCAATAGCACAGGTGCAATCCCCATTTCCCTATACTTCAAACTCTTTGCACTATGGTTTTGCATTTCGGTCCCACTCACTCTCTTGGGAGGACATATTGGGACCCGGGCGGAGCCCATCAAGTACCCGGTCCGAACAAATCAGATCCCCAGAGAGATCCCATCCCGAAAGTACCCCTCATGGATTCTTGTTCTCGGAGCGGGAACTCTCCCGTTCGGGACCCTCTTCATAGAACTCTTCTTCATCTTATCAAGCATATGGCTGGGACGGTTCTATTACGTGTTCGGTTTCCTCCTCATTGTTTTCCTCCTCTTGGTGGTTGTTTGCGCAGAAGTATCTGTCGTGCTCACATACATGCATCTCTGTGTTGAGGATTGGATGTGGTGGTGGAAGGGGTTCTATGCCTCCGGTTCCGTTGCTATCTATGTCTTCTTGTATTCCATTAATTATTTGGTGTTTGACCTCCGGAGCTTGAGTGGGCCCGTGTCTGCCACGCTGTATTTAGGATATTCATTGATAGTGGCGGTTGCGATCATGCTTGCCACCGGCACTATTGGTTTCCTCACATCGTTCTACTTTGTCCATTACCTCTTCTCGTCTGTGAAGATTGACTGAGCCACATTCTTTAATGAACTGGCCACGGGCCATCTTCGTTTAAAGCAGAAGAAGTGTCTCTTTTTCTACAGATAGCAAAACAAATTCGTTATGCTTTTATGCAATATTTGACTCGTTTAGATGACCCTGCGAATTTATTATTAGCTGTTTTATGTTTGGCTTTTTTTTTTATATCTTTCTGCATTTAAAATTTGTTGTAGCAGTTGCACGTCCATTTTTTTGGACAATGTATTGAACGGCACATTTAAGTTAACTGTGTGGTAATTATTTATAAGGCTTTGATACTGACATAAGTCTTTCTATCTATAGATCATAGTTCTAATCGCTCCAATATAATGTAGAAATTTTGGATTGAGAGAATGAAAGTCTAGAGATAGAAAAAATGGGAACGTTTACTCTGTCATGTTTAACAGTTTAAGTAACCATTTGGATGGGAAGAAAAATTGACTAAGAAGAGTGAATGATGAAAATAAAATTTAAGGTCTACAGAGAAACGAGGTAGTAATGAATTAGGCCATTAGGGAGTTTATACTTTGTAGTAGAAGATAATATGAAAGATAAATGTAGATTTGTGATAATGACATCTTTCCAATGAGATGTCCATTAGTATATCTTTTACACAATTATAAATATGAAGAGGATAGACTATCATAGGTAGGGACGGAGCCAGGATTTAGTCATAGGGGGCAAGATGAAAGACAAACAATAATAAGAAAATTTTCCTTGACAGCGGGAATTTTTTCATTTATAAAACATACGTAGGGTTTGTTTGCAATAACTTCTGCTTTTAAAAAAGTGCTTTTTTAATGAAATGGAGAGAAATGATTAAATAAAAGTTGATAGTGTTTGAGAAAAAAGTGATTTTTAAAAGTAAAAGTGGGTAGTGTTTGGTAAAATAAGTGTTTTTTGTGTAATAGAAAAAGTAAAAGCACTTTTGACGCGGAAGCCGAGAAAAATAAAAGTTGTAGTGTTTGAAAAAATAAGTGCCTTTTTAAAGCCAAAAGCTGAGAAGTGCTTTTTAAAAGCAGTTGCAAACCAACCCGTAGTACTTGATAAGAACTGCTCCGTTCTATTTGAGAAATAAAACATAATTTGTACTATTTTTAATCATACTACGTATATATGTAATATTTTCATAAATAATGATTCTGTCAAAAACTACTTGACAGGACCCACCGTCTGGCCGTCTATGTTTGAGGTGCTTCCAACGCAATGTTCAAATAAATAAACTATTGGAACATATTGTGCCAAAATATATTTAAAAACAACGCAATGTTTTTATATATATTATCTTAGTGACTTTCCGAATGAATTTTAAGCTAAAATTTAGTAGACATAATCTACAGTTCATAAAAATATGGTCACAAAAATTTATCAAAAAATCTACCTGTAAGCATCTCAAATTGAGATTTGAGACTTCTATCTAATAATTTTGACTAGATCTTTTTTTATCATTTCATATCTAATAGTAGTGCTGGACTCGGGCCGGGCGGCCCGAACCGGAACCGGCCCGGCCCGGTTACTGTGTGAACCGGCCCGGCCCGGTGGCCCGGTCCACCGGCGGTTCGGGTCGAACCGGCCCGGTGGATACCGGTTCCGGGCCCGGGCCCTCTATTTGGTGAACCGGCCCGGCCGGTTCGGGCCCGGTCCGGGCCGGAATAATTTTTTTTTGATTTTTTTTTGAAATTTTTTTAATTTTTGGGTTGGATTAGGTATTTTGGGCCATTTGAGGTGGTTTGGGATGGTTTGGGGTTGAGGGGGAGGGGTAGGGGGTTAAATAAGAGAAGCCAAAAAATCAAAAAAAAAATGGGGCGGGACCGGCCCGGTCTGGCCCGGAACCGGCCCGGAACCGGTCACCTGCCGGTTCGGGCCCGGGCCCTCCTTTTGGTGAACCGAGGCCCGGCCGGTTCAAGGCCCGAACCGGGCCTGGCCCGAACCGAGTCCAGCCCTATCTAATAGTAGTAGTATTAAAAAATAAAAAAGTTGGGAGGGGCAATTGCCCCCTACCCATACACATTAGTCCGTCTCTAAGATTCATAGGTATAAAAATTTGTTGGTGTAACGTATAAGTTTTATGAAGATGTACTATACAATCAAGTTATTGTAATAATTGGATGGGAAATTTACTAGGTTATGAGTAAAACTCAATGAGTTTCCCAATGTATGACCTAACTAGTTTTTATACCTTTGTATGACCAAAAATCCAAAATCAAATAGAAAATTCATTTATATTTAAATGTTGAATGGCAAAAATATCCTTATTTAAAATATGTGCATTTTGCACTAGTTTCTCCCAATTAAAATTAATGCACTTTATATTGCCGTTAATGCACAAAATTAATGCATGACTTTACTGCACATCCGGTAATAATCACTGCATTTCCTCTAAAATTTATTCTCTTCTTATTCAATTGAGTTTTTTTTAATTTAATAATTTTATTATTTTACGTCTAATTAGGTATATTGCATTTAATGATGATATCACTGCTATGTGTTACTACAATATTGGTCATAATCACTGCACAACAAAATTTCTTAATGCATTCGTTCACTGCCATATACAACATGTCTATATATTCACTGTCAATACTCCACACTTATTGAAATATTCAGTGACGGTGTTCAATGCCCATATTTAATGCCCACAAACCCTAAATTAATATAAAACCAAATCTCAAAAAATAAAAATAAAAAAAAGGAAGAATGAGGGGGACGAATGGACAACAACGAAGGTGAGTTGGAGTGCCTCAATGCCATATTCAATGTACCTGAAAATTCAGATTATAGTGTATCACTTTAATTAATAATAAATTCATTCATTTCAAAATGGCAAAACTATGGTTACGAAGGGATTGAGAGGTGGATCCCGCCACTCACAAAAATAATGAAGAAAGAAACCTAAAAACACAAAAAAAAAATAATAAATTCGAGCCACAACAATTGGATCTAAACGGATCTGTCGGAGGTGTTGCCAGGCCACTCCTTCAACGCAATTATCATATATCCGCATCTTTAGCCTCACCCTTCTTCCTGTTCAAATTCAAACCTGTACTCTGCTGCGACCGTTAAATTATTTGAAATCGGAAGGTGTCAAACGGTGGGTGAGCGGCTGGACGATGGAGTAGAGTCCAGGAAACTGCGGCCATGAGAAATTGATTCAAATCTACCAGGACTGCCACCGGTGAAGATGAGAAAGAGGCTAGATGAAGGTGGCAGATGGTGGTAGGAGGTTGGGCGGTGATTGCAGGCGGCTGGACAGCGAGGCGGTGGTCTGGGCATCGGTAGACACATAGGCGATAGGTGGGCTACGACTAGGGTTGATAAATGGAGTGGGATGTTAGAGTTTTATAATAATACTTTAAGGGCAAATTAGTCCATAAAAATATTTATTTAATTATTTATTAGTATATTAATTAAATATGACGAATTTAATTTTATTTTGGGAAAAAACTCATTAGGCCATAGATTGGGAAAGTCATGATGTTTTAGTAATACCTAGGATAATTATCTCTAATTGGATCCAAAGCCTCTGCCTTGCTTTAGAGCAATATAATGTGGGGTGTCTAGCTTTTGGCAACTCTCCGATAAAAAATCAACAGCCGGCGATCGTGAGGTCCGTATCTCGAGAGTGCCCTTCTTTTCATCCGCCCATCTGTTGTCGCAAGGCACCTCTGTTACACGACAGAGGATTTGAATCTGCACTAATTCACTCTCTACTTCTCTAACGTTCAAGTCTGTCAAATAAACGTCTGTTATCTCTCTATTAGTAATCGTCTCCTACTTAGGGGGGTGTTTGGATCTGTTCTTAAAAGTGCTTCTACTCTTTCAGAGAGTAGAATTGAAGCAGGGTTTAGAATGTTTGAGTGGAAGTGAAAAAGTACTTGTGAGTGCTCCAAAATACTTTAGAAGCAATTTTTTAGAGTTGGGGAGACCTCTATCACTGATTCTAGTTTGACTTCGGTTTAAAAAAAAGAAGCTCTCACGCAAAAAAAAGCAGAATCAATTCCAAATGTGCCTTAGAGCATCACCAATGATAGTTGTTCACATTAATAAAAAACGACCTCATCATCAACTTAACATTACATCTCATATTTCCGTCTCCAATGCATCAGAGCTCCACTCATGTGATGTTGATGTGTCAAAAATTCACGTGTACAATGTTACCATGACTGTTTTCGAATAATAGCGTATTTGACGTGCTGATTGGGCAAACTTGGACGGAGAAACATGCAAAATGTAGAAAAAAGCTGCGAAGTTCTTCCACCCCTACCAAGCTTTACGCGCAAAACCTCAGCCATAATATATATTTTCAGTATTGGGTTTTTCTTTCTCCCAAGAAATCCCAGAATTAATTTTACATTTAACCTTTCTCTTCATGTCAAGAATACTTTAATTTATTCCTAGGTTCCAACAAAGTAGATTTGTCTTGAGGAGGGGAAAATATTTCATTTTTGTATATATTTGTGCCGTATCCATAAATTTTCTCTTAAAATTACTTCCTCTCTAAAATAGATTTCACACTTAGATCTGTCAACTCAATCGCTGAACTCGAAAGGAAGCCAGACTCAAAAGGGGTTTAAGAAAACACTCCAATCACCACACCTGTACGGCCGTACCCCACACTTTATAAAAATTATTGCCGGCACGAGAAATTTTTTTCATGTTGATTTTTATCAATAATAGTGATTTCAAAATTATAAAATTTGTTCTTGGAGGGGTTGTGCGCATGAATAATTAAAACATAGGAAGGCTTGACGCACACATTCTTTAAAGCACAAAGAGCACCAAATTTATATATCACGAGGGTTGATGCATTAACCCCACGTAAATGGGCTGTTAATACTACATTATTTTGAATTCCACAGTTTATTTACATCAGTATTTCATTTATTAATTGACGTCAAAGTTTCTTCCCTTTTAATAATGCAATGACATGATGACATCCAAGCCTTAATCCCTTCTAACAATGTAGCAATTACAAATCTGCTCAGCGTCTTCTCCCAATGAGCCTTAGTGACTCTGCTCAGCGTCTTCGTTTACGTTCCAAACTAAGTTTCTGACAGGAGAGTTGCAAGGTCAGCTAATCTACCTCGTCTGGGTTAGACAGATATCGACCCTAAGTCCCGAAAGTCTCTCGCCCGCCTTTGTCTCCCTCTTTTCTTTGGTTTACTGATTATTGGCGGTGATTGCATTTAAAGGAGACAAATCTGATTGTACCCTTCCGTTTTCCCATCTCCTATGAAACGCCAGTTAAAGAGATTGGGGAATTTCTTGCAGTTTTAAGTTTTAACCGTTCCCTAAATTTCATTTTAACGGCGTGGTTTCATCCATTTGCAAAGGTTCTTTTCCGCTGCTCAGCACTGTTCTACAGGTAAGGCTTCCGGCCTGTAGCCCTTGCTATTTTTAAGGTCCTATTTTTATTACTCTGTATTACTTGTGTTTGTTCACCTTTGTTTCCTTTATGATAGAATATTGCTCTATAGAACATTTGTCAAAAAGAGGTGTGCATATGTTGATCATATTTTTTGATTTGCAAGTCATACGTTTTCCTTTCACATGTTCCATAATCTATAAAGTATTAGGCCATTTTGTTATGTTTCAGATGCTTAGTTTGATAGTCATGTGTTTGAAAAAATGCCCACAAGACACACTTGATAATTTTAAATGTTTGGTAGTCTTTCAATTTTGCTGTAATATTTGCACCTGATATTCTCATCTCTTTTGAAACAGTATGATGGTTTTCATATCTTTAATACATTTTGTCATCATGTTCATTTTTAATGATTAATCATTTAGTTAATATGTAGTATACAATTTAATAAACTATTATGTTTATAACCCTGTTTATCTAAAAGAATAACTATATAATATACACAATTAAAGGTTGTACAGGTTGGCTATAATTTCAGTTATATCAACTACTTTTACTTATCTTTCCTGGCTATTATATTTATTAAAGGTTGTACAATTCCAAAAGGACTATGCTCATGCGAACTAGCTCTCCTAGCATGTTGTGATGCTGATTGTTCACTTGAGATAAATCTTATTTATATTGTTGTAAAAAATATAAAAAAATTCAAATATTCAATTATTTGGTTACTCCTATTATAAAACATGCATACATAATAACTACATAAGAAGAAGAAAACACAATCAAAATAATCCAAAAAGAAATAGAATGACAAAGTTAAGCCAACAAGTACACTTAGTATAGTTCATCTAATTATGGAGTTATCAATCAATCATCATTTACCCCAGTGCCGCAAAGGCTCCCACCTACGGTGGGGTAAGGGGGTCAGATGTACACAGTCTTACCTCTGTACTTAAGCACAGAGAAACTGTTTCCGGATGACCCATAATGAAAATCGTGTCCAAAATTGCGTGGACTGACTGCTGCTTCATAACAAAAAAGAGCAGACAGTTTGGTGAGTTATTTTGCTTTATTCCATCATATTCTCAAGCTAAAAAATAATGAATCTTTGGCTCCATTGCAAATGATGGAGTTATATCGAGTATAAAATGCTAACACTCATATTAGGCTCAAGTTTTGTGTTTTAGTTATTCAAAATATAATCATGTTCCATGTCTGGGTTATCTACTCGGTGAGTACTCGCAACTCGGGTACTAACCTTGCCGAGTAACTACCCGATTCCGTCCATGTTTTATTTCCGAGTTACTCGCCGAGTACTCGGCGAGTTTCTCAACTCGGTGAAGTTTTCGACTCGGCGAGTTACTCGGTCTTACTCGGTCCCTTATAAAATTGAAAATCTATGTTACAAAACCTAGGTTAATTAGAGTTCGAGACATCGACTATCCTTCTGGAGCTGTGTCTATGATCTCTTAATAAGTTCTCATTTTCTTTCTCGTATCTTCTCTTCTTCCCTCTCTCGTTTCTTCTTCTTCTCCCCCCCTCCCGTCCTTCTTCACAAGTTGTTCTTTTCTACGTTCTTAAAATATAACCATCTTCATTGTTTAATATTGGTACACACATATATGTTGTTGTAAACAAATTCTTTTCACCAGTATGACTATATATATATTATACTATGTAACTTTTCATTACAATCACTATATTGATTGACTACTATGGCACTCATTGATTGATATACACCGACACACATCATCTAATTGGCAGTCATGAACTCTGCTAAGTGTGCTGAGGCTTCTAATGGTGCTGAAGCTGCTAATACTTCAGTTAAGAGAAAATTAGATTATATAGGATGGACATGGGGAGAGAACATAGATCCTACCAAATTATTAGATGATTGATTTTCTTGAAAACTTAGAATGTTTATGACTTTTGCTTGTCCATCATTAGGATTTCTATCATTTTATTCATTTCTATGTATTTTAAGACAATTTTAAGACTATCATATTTCTGTAATCTCGGGCACCTATATTATTAATTTTAATTAATACAAGACTGATTAATCACCGAGTAATCGATCCTACTCACTACTCGGCATTTGACCGAGTTACTACTGAGTAGCGAGTTAACTACCTAGTTTCCTGTTTTAAAATTACTTGTTGATTATTTGTAAAACATTATTATGGGTCTATGGGGGCTGCACAAGAGGATGGAGAGATTCTTTTGGACGGGACAACTGGATGGACCTATTCCACAAACCACCTTCTCTACATTACCTAAGCTCCTCTTAATGTGATACAGGTCGGCGTACCTTGATTTATGCGGTTTTTAGACAACATTGATGTTGATGGTGGTTAAGAACTACTTGAACTTATGGAAATGAAAAGACACGTAAGATGGAATTTTAACGTTTTTCTTACATGTAAGTGCAATTTTATATTTTCATGCATGATATATAAAAATAGATTTAGCTTTCTAGCATTGTGTTTATAATAATCTTATACGGTTTCTTAATTGCAACAAGTTTCCTGGGGATGACATCCCTATTATTAGAGAATCTACTTTATCAGCTTTGTGAAGTAAAACTTTATCAACACAAGAAACCTAAGGTAAGTTGTAATTCAAAACTTATCATTTCAAATTGTCAATGCATGCGGATGCCTTAATGACTTATGAAAGTACTGTTATTATGATTCTAATGCTAGAATTTTTTGAACATACATATTTTCTTTCCGCAATTCAGCTCTAGCTCTTGAAGCTAATTGAAATTTTTGCTTGTTTGTAGATGAAAGGTTTTGTGCGGACTGGTACACAAGTGGTGAGAGACATGTCAACAAAGATCTTTGATCCCATAAACATCTAGAAAATGGGCGGGTCAGCGAATTATATGTGCATTAAATGTGATGGAGGGGGGAAGATGTTAGTCTGTAGTGATAGTAGCTGTCCTATAGTTGTGCATGAGAAGTGTATGGGTTGCCGGCCTTACTTTGATCGCGAAGGAAACTTTTACTGCCCATACTGTTTATGCAGACAAACAACTGCAGAGTCGAGTAAAGCAATGGAGCTTGTTTTGCTTAAAAAGAGAGCTCTGTCCGCTTTCCTGAATAAAGAAACAGTTAACAGTGAGAAACTGCTCCCCCAACCATCTCATGTCTTTCAGAGTAAATATAACCATGATTCTGTAGACGATAATCCCAATGCTTCAGTGGCTGGAAAACAAACAGTTTCTGACATGATTGTTGCTGATGGATGTGAATCTAGTGACAGACAAGAGCCTATACGGAAATTTAGGATTGTAGAAGTTGGCAATAGGATGGATGCAGAACATGATTCAGATGTTGATGTTCAACCACTTCATGATAGAGATGTTGAAGATCCTCAAGAAGAGTACCAACCAAATAAGATACCTGAACGAGAAAGGAAAATGGCCAGAAAATGTAAACAAATTTCTGTGCAAAATGATCTGAGGAATGAGGATTGTCAAGAAAATGGGCAACCAAAGAAGATTCCTGAAGGTGAGAGGAAAATAAAGAGAAAATTCAAGCTCAGGCTAGCAGAAGATGAACAAGAGGTTAATGACCAACAACTATATACAGATGGTGAAGAGGGCTGCCTGATTGATGAAAATGAACCAGAAGTTGATGACCAACAACCAGATAAGGATGTTGAAGATCGTTTGAGAGAAATATTAGAAAGCGGAGTGAACATCAAGAAGAAATCCATGGAAGTGCAAGCTGAGAGGAAAGAAAATGAAGCTGATGGTGGTGCAGAATCTGATGCCATTTCAACAGAAAGAGAACCCATTATAATGAACAATGAAACTCAGGATGAGCCTTTAAATCCTTATCCTAAAAAGAGGTCAAGTTCGTCAGCTAATACATCTAGAAAAGTTTCAGGTCTAACTGAGGAGACAATTCCCCATGAGAAGTTCCAACTGGCTGGAGAGCATTCAAAGGGGCGGTGAGTAATCAACTACTACAGAAGATACCAATGTTTATTGCACGCTGATTATTTATTTTATACGTACTCCCTGCGTATTTAAAAGTTCCCTACACTTTCCCTTTTTGGTAAGTTTTTCCTTTAAAAATACTCAATTACCCTTACCTTTTCTACTTTTTATCCTCTCTTTCCTACTTTTCACCTTCTTTCCTACTTTTTCTTTAATATTTATTACCCTTACTATTCTACCTTAAATCTTGTGCCATAACCAAACGTAGCGATCTTTGAAATACGGAGAGTAGTATTATATTAATTCATTTGTACTCCTTGACTCCTTGTGTCCAAAAGAAGAATTCATGTGTCTAACACCTTTCTTTGTCTCTAAAAAGGAGTCCGGTTTGAGCAAACAAAACTAATTGTCCATGTAATTTGCCAAAAAAGCTGCATGCAAGTTACATGTGATTCATATGAATGATTATAAAATAACAAATAAATTGAAAAATATAATTATGGATAATGATTCTTGGAAGGGGGTTTGAATGCTCCCCCTTTCCCCCATGTTTGCTTGATTATATGCTTCTGATTTGAACTTACATGTTCGCTGCAGGAATTATGCATTTTGGAATGGAAAACGTAAGAAGGTAAGGTGGAGTGAGGAAGAAGAAGAAATGCTAAAGGTACAGAATGTGAAAAAGAAATTTCAAACATCAATTAATTGGTTGATGAGCTTAGTGTTAATATGGAAGAACTTTGCATATCAGTGGAGCTTCTAATGTGGGTTCTTATTGCATATTTGGCTACAGGAAGGCGTTCACAAATTCTCAATAACAGCTAATAAGAATATACCATGGAGGAAAATCTTAGACTTTGGCCGTCACGTGTTTGATGGGACCCGTACGCCAGCTGATCTCAAGGACAAATGGAGAACTTTGTGGGCTAATAAGGTGTAGTAGCAGTTTAAATACCCAGAAGTCATTTTAGAAGTTCTCTTCTGGTGGAATGTAAAGAATGAAAAAGACCGATAAAACCCTTGCATCTTGCTTAGAGTGCCACTGTGCCTGGGGTTTCATGGGAATTCTCCTGTTGGGTAATACATGGGTATGATGTTGAATCCTAAAATTCTTTTGGGATAATTTTGATAGCATATTACTGCATGGTGTCCTTGTAGTTTACATTCCTAAATTATTTTCCTTGTGAATTGTATTTTAGTTCCATTCTTTTGTTTTTTATCCGTGAATTTATTCAACAAGTTTTGATTCGTGTGTGTTTTTTATGAAGCTTTTGATGGGTATTTTCTTTAAATGATTCCCACTCCATCCCACTATTTTTGTTTATCTTTTTTTTCCGTTCCAATAACTTCATTAGCTTTTGAAGGGCTAATGACGATATTGTTGCATACTTAAGAGATTGTAGTTCAAACTTCGTACTCCCGCAGTAATGCTATCTTTGTATAATCTTATAACTAGTCTTTCACCCGTGCGTTGCACGGGATGTCAAAGTAAAAGGTTATTTGTAACGTCATTTAATGTATTCAAATATTCAAATATTGCCAAATTCAAAAGTCTAATACTCCATCCGTCCTGGGGAGAAGTTCCCAATTTCCTTATTTGGATGTCCCAAAAGAAACTTCCCATTTCCCTAAATGGAAAGTTATCCTACATTAAAACAGTGCCAAACAGTGCAAAACAATGTCAAACAGTGCCAAACAGTGTCGAAACAGTGCAAAACAGTAAAATTTACCCCTCAGTAACTTTATTTCCTAAAAATGTGTGAAAGTCAACCCGGGACTTCTCTCCGGGACGGAGGGAGTACAACGTAACGTACCATTAATATATGAACTGGAAGTAAGTGTTATTATTTAAATACAAATTATGGACATTACTAAGCCAAAATTTCTATAAAATAGAACTTGTGTCCAATCTTTAAAAAGATTACTGTTATACGATAAAAAGAGAAATTGCATATATGCAATTCGTATACCATACACTTTTAACTGACTATAAAATAGAACATGCGCCCAATCTTTACACATTAAAATCTTGCAACCAAGTTTTCTCAATTCAAGTTTCAGGTAAACATTCTTCAAACGAACCTTGTATGTCACCAAAGTTAAGGCTAAGAACAAAGGGTTTTGGAGAGAAGTGTGTGTGTCTATATATATAATATGTGAGCTGTAAGAGATGTACTTGTGGACAGAGATAGGATCAATAAGTAATATCTGAGAAGGATTTGGAGAGTTGTGCAAATGAAATAGACGCTATTTCGGCTTCCATCGTCGAAGGAAAAAGATGAGGATTAGCCGAAGAGAACCGGAAACTTTGCTGATATTTCTGAAAGGAATAGAAGAATCAGTGCTAGTTGGTCCAAAGTGAACTCTAGAAATGGAATGTAGCAGCGGAAAATAATTACGGAGTATAAACAAATTTCCAAAAATACCCCAATATTAGGCGGGATACTGAGTGCGTTAAACATAGATATATAGATATATAACCAAACTAAAATGTATAAACATGTATTTTTACTGCTTAAACTGGACTTTTAATTCTCATGCTTTATTTGCATTAACTACGAAAGATGTTTTTTTCACTTCTTGCAATTAAACTATCTAGAAATAAAACCAATGCTAATTTGTAGGCATCATACAAACTCTTGATATTACCAATTCCTTTGTTTGAAATAATTGCAGTAGGCATTAGTGTATTACACTAAAACTACATTTTTACTACTTAGCGTTTTCAAATCATAGCCCAAAGAGAAAGAAAGTCATAGAACTTTTGACATCAAAGCCACCTGGTGGGTTAATGGGGGTTCACATTTAGGTTGAATAACAAAAGGCTGTTCTTTACTCTATCATATCTTTAAAAAAGTCCACTATGAAATGAAATAAGGTGGCTTGGTATGGGAAGTGAGATGATGTAACTATAACACAAATGAATTAGGATGTTTTTACTTGGATTGGAATTTTCCGGTCTGGTCTGAACTGGTCTAATAAATGACTGGTCCCTGTGTATTTTATAATTATCCAAGTCTGGTCTGGTATGAGATTAAAAACAGTCCAAGTAAAAACATTCTTAGATTCCAAACTCAGTTGGATTATATGTTTCCAGTTCATCAGTGATCGCCATTACTATGGTCTTATCTCATAACCCAAAAAGAGAATAAAAAAGAAAAAGAAAAAGAAGCAATCCGAGTAACCTTAAAGCATTAAGCCAATATATTCTTTACATAAAAAGTACGTAGTACATGTTTATTAAAAGATTAGTTGAATAACAGAGAAACGGCTCCAAATACTTCTCAATATTTATAAGAGAAAGGGCAAGTTATGATAAAAACGAAAGAGTAACAAAGAAGAATAGCAGAGAAACGTCTCCAAGTACTCTCAAGTTCCTCTTCTGTCATGCTGAACCCATGAGTTCCAAACTGCAAAGAAGCAAAACACATCTTTTCCATAATTTTGTTAGGTGGACTTTGCGTTCATAGGAAGAATCTACTGCACAAATGAGTATGAATAAAAACAAAAAATAGGTTTTTAGCAGAAGGCAATGATTACAGAAGAATCGATCCAATCAGTTTAAACCTAATTCAAAATTTAGATAAAACCAACCTTACCATAAAAAGATCAAATAAGGGATCAATTTTTTATTTACTTAAGTAATTGTGGAACTTAAACTAATGGAAAGCACCAAGCTAAACTAAATACTCCGTAATTATCAGTATTTAGTCAAAATTCAAACCACCCAAAATCTAAATAATACAAAATTAAATCATTAAAAAAATAAAAATAAATTACCTGTAATTCTTACTGTCGTTGATGAGAGCATGAGATGCTTCAGATTTCAATTCTTACGCTGCAGACATGGCCGAAATTTCAATCCGTTCCTCACTCCTAGACTCCTTGCCAGGTTGCACTTATGCTGCCCATCGGTGTGTGAATTTCCAGAGCAAAATCGTGTGTGAAATTCTTTAGAAAAGTGAAGGAGATCTCGAAAGAATGTAGATGCCGCGGAAAGTAGAAACCAGATGAGTTAATGATATGTAGATTCGATGAAAGTTAGAAATCTAGTGTTGAAGGACTCCGTGAGTTGAAATGGAGAGCTGCCCTAATTTCCAGACGCTAAAGAAAATGCGAGTCTAATTCCGAAGAGTAGAGAGATTAGCAGTATTTACGCAAATGTCCCTAGTCATGAGCGGGAAACGCACTTAAGCAGATTAATATATATATATAGATTACGTTCATTATTATGTGGACTATGGAGTAATACTCCAGGCACAGTTCGGGCCTTGAACCGGCCGGGCCTTGGTTCACCAAAAGGAGGGCCCGGGCCCGAACCGGCAGGTGACCGGTTCCGGGCCGGTTCCAGGCCAGACCGGGCCGGTTCACCTGCCCCATTTTTTTTTTGATTTTTTGGCTTCTCTTATTTAACCCCCTACCCCTCCCCCTCAACCCCAAACCACCCCAAACCACCTCAAATGGCCCAAAATACCTAATCCAACCCAAAAATTAAAAAAATTTCAAAAAAAAATTAAAAAAAAAATATTCCGGCCCGGACCGGGCCCGAACCGGCCGGGCCGGTTCACCAAATAGTGGGCCCGGGCCCGGAACCGGTATCCACTGGGCCGGTTCGACCCTAACCGCCGGTGGACCGGGCCACCGGGCCGGGCCGGTTCACACAGTAACCGGGCCGGGGCGGTTTCGGTTCGGGCCGCCCGGCCCGAGTCCAGCACTATGGAGTATCGTACACCATATTTAATACTCTTTAACTTTGTAATTCAAACTCTTTCATGCCTTTCGATTCAATATGAACCAGGGGCATACCTTGGGCCTTGGGGGACTGGCATGGCTCCTGACTCTTCTATATTTGGTAAAGAGGATATATTCAAAATGTAAAAGATATAAAAATTACAATGTATAAAATAATTCTTTTTATCGGTCTACCTCAATAATTTGCTCTGGCTACACCACTTGTATCAAACACATAATTATATTTATACCTTAATGTGTCACCTTATCACTATTTCCCAAATGTAATATGCTATGAAGTTGTACATTCGATATCCAAGTACCAAGTATGGTTATGCAGAGGAATGATCCTGTCTAGCCGGAGGGACAGGATCCTCCGTCCGGCCACCGCCGTTTGGGGCGGTTCCCGGTGGAGTTTTTTGATGAAATTTTTATGGAATGTTCCTCATCAAGTCTAGTTTATCCACAAAAAATTTCAGCTAAAAATTCAATTGGGAAGGCAGTCAAATAATTTGTTGAAGATAACTGCGCCAAATTAAACATATAAAACACAGTTATGTTTCAAAAAATTATTTGACTGCCTTCCCGATCGAATTTTTAGCTGAATTTTTGTGTGGATAAACTAGACTTGATGAGGAACATTGCATAAAAATTTCATTAAAAAACTCCACCGGGAACCACCCCAAACGGCGGCGGCCGGACGGAGGATCCTGTCCCTCCGGCTGGACATGATCTTTTCGGTGGTTATGCATTTGAATCCATGTTTAGTCGTCTGAAATGTATATAGTAATACGGAGTATATGTTTGGACTTTGGAGATTACAAGTGTCTTTTGTCCTTTGCACTGGAACTTTTCCTTTTTACCGCATGCTCTAACCCTGTGCAATCCTTGAAATTGAGAATTTGAGTTGGGAAGTGTTTCCCTTCTATAAATTGTCGAAAATACGGTGTCTCCAATTTATTATTCTCTAATGAATGATTTGATTTAAGAATTTTCCACCTTTCCCTGAAGTATTAGGATATTGAAGTCCGATAAATATAGAGGCCGATCGCCCCCCTCCTGAACCACCGCTGATCCAGGAATATGACATTGGATGGATTGCTTTCTTTCCGGTGGCTGGTCAAATCGGAACAATTTCTGCACTTGGCTCCTTACCGGTGGCTGAAAAAACCAACAAGTTCAATAATTCTTTTTCGGTGGTCGGTCAAGCCGAACCCATTTTGAGTAATATGAGCAGACACACTGCGGTACGAGTCTACATTGTTGCAGGGTTAGCGAACATCAGTGGTTTTATATGACGTTTTAGTTATGTTTCTTGTTAAGATCTGATTATCAATAATATGGTTATTTGATTTTTAAAAAGCTACTACCTCCGTAACTCTAGAATCTTCCCAGTTTGACTCTTTTGGGTCAAACTTTATAAACTTTGACCATTAATTATTCAAAACTCACATTATGTTATGATTAAAAATTTATTTTATATACCTCATTGTAAAACATATTATTTGAATGTTAATTTATTATGAATTTTATAAATATAGATATGTAGATATTTAGAGTCAAAGTTCAACTTAGAAGACCGTGAAAAGTCAAAATGGGAAGATCTTTGTGTTACGGAGGTAGTATGTCAATAAGTGCTCACATCCGGGATTTTTTTTTGGGAATAAAAACATAATGCTTTCATATTTTTTTTGGGAAATAAAAGCATAATGCTTTCACAGTTTTTTCTTCCATTTAGAACCATGTATTTATTTAATACGGAGTATAAGGTTAGTCACTTTTTAAAAAAAAAAAAATTAATTTTTATGCATTTCTTTCTAATTAATCATCAAATCTCAAGCACAATATATTAGTATAACATGTTTTTAATCATCAAATCTAAAGCATAAAATACATGTTTTATCGTAAAAATAGCTTCAGGGGGAGCTGGGCCAGTTGGGCTAGATTCAGTACCTGTCTGTCTATAAAAAGTTAAAAACTAAAAAGAGCACCGTTTTGTCAGGTGGACCTGGTACAATTCCGGTTAAAGACCAGACAGTTGTGGGTTAGCTATAAGGGGGCCTCGAAAGGGTGTTACCGCTTTCAGCACCAGGACGGGGCCGTCCGTGTATTACCTGGTTGGGTTTTATACCAGAACCAAGGTCCAACCTAGTGTACAGTATGTATATAATAAATTACATGCTGTATTTAAAAAAACAAGCTACCTTGTTATTTGAATTTTAGACTAGGTGCTAGCACAATACATAATGAATCTCTCAAGAGTTGCAGACAAGGAGGATGATAATAATAACAATGTACAAAAAACAAAGATTCTAGACAGTAAAACCAGCCAAGAAGAGCAACACTTTCAAGCACCCTATTGCAGAAGGTCCTTAGGCCGAAAACTGCGTATGAAAGGCCGATATACCTGAACCGCTCTTAAACACGTATCTAGTCTTAGATGACGGTGCCACTGGGAATCAACGCGTCCTTGATTATCGTCACAATTCCACTCTTTATGAAATATCCATCACTTTCCCTGGCCGCCTCTTGAATATTGTCACTGTTGACAATCTGATGATGTACAACCAACACGCGAGTTATTAGTGTGTTTATGCAATGTTAATGATGTGATTATAATGTCAACTACATCTTATCATATATAGTGAGCATCATATCACAGTATATTGCTCTATGTTGAGGTATACATTTTTATGCTACATATACACACGTCATATATTCAAGTAAGGTAGTTTTTTCTATGGCCTTGACGTCTAATTCCAATAGAAACATGTTTAGAATGGGAGGGTTTAATGTTAAAAACCATCATTATGATATAAAATATTAGCACATTAACCATACATGATTCAAAAAATGCGTCAAGATTTATAACACTTTTAGGCAATTTAGACAAATGTGCATGCATGCTTTAATCATATTACCAAAGGTGCATTTTTTCCCACAAAGAAATTTGTCATTTCAGGATATCATCTGCATGATTATAATCAAACAAGAAGTTTTGACAATTTTTTTAATCAGAATGGACTAATGTTTAGAATTTTATATCGGACAGGGTTTAGAATTCCATTAATCAAGAAGAGAATCGTGAATTCTGGAAAATAGATGCATCACATATAGCCACTAAACCATGATCTTTCGTCATTGCCCAAGATATAGGTAAATTCCAACATTCTAAACTAGTTTTTTTCCTTTCTAATTCTCAATCATTAATTCCCAATAATAATATAAGGTACTCTAATTCAATCCCAAGTTCCCAACTATCACATCAACCCGAATGAGAAGAGAAGAAACAAGAAAGCCATTTGATATCGAACCTTAACATTATCGCCAATACGAGCATTCTTGTCAATGATTGCCCTTTTAATGTGGGAGTTCTTGCCGATCCCAATTGGAACACTTCCCTTTGCAGCCAAAAGCTTTCTGTCAGCATCCGTCTGAAGCACAATGACAACCAAGCACAAGATTCATATATTATTACAAAAACATGAGCCACTATCAAAATATTTCCTCCTTATCAAGAAGCCAGTTTTTTTAACCAAGGAGTAAAACAAATTGACTCAAGTATTGCATGGATTGCTACCTCATAGTAATCTGCTCCCATCAGCAATGTATCTTCTATAATTGCACCTTCTGAAATACATGATCTAAGTCCAACCACGGAATGATGAATTTTACAGTTCTACATCACAAACAAACTCGCAATGAGAAGCCACATAGATCTAATGCTGTGTAGAGTTGGTTAATCGTTTTAATGAACTAAAATCTAATCCGATTAAATAGTGAACGCTCAGATTGCAATTTACCTTTATTACACAACCTTCACCGATGACACTGTCTGTAACATCAGCATCAAGCATTTTGGAAGGAGGTAAATAACGAGGTTGAGTGTAGATCGGAGCTGATCGGTCATAGAAGCTTCAAGAAGACAATGATGACTGTTTAGTGTTTTATATTAACAAACCACTGTCAAAGAAGCAGTAAATATAATCCTATTATCATAATAATAACTGTTAATAGTTATTATTATAACAACCTGAAGTCTGGCACTGGCTTCTTAGTAATACCCAAATTGGCATTATAGAAGGCTTCAATTGTACCAATGTCTTCCCAGTAGCCATCAAACAAATAAGCTTGAACCTGCACAGATTTAACAGTGAGACTTCTCATGGAATTACTAGTTTAAACTATGACTATACCAACTAAAATTGAGAAGCAGTCGTGCATTACAATATAGACTTTGAGAAGGAGCTCAGTCACATACTCTCAATCCAAGAGCGGTTGCACCAGGAATAACTTCACTTCCAAAATCATTAGCTCCTGGGAACTTTTCTCGAAGTAAATTAATCATCACATCTTTGCTGACCACATAAATTCCCATGCTTGCAATGTAAGGCATCTCTTTAGCTCTCTCATCATCAAGACCTAAAATAGTGGTATCAACCTGAAATGAAATAATATGATTCTTCATTATCTATTGACAAGTTTAGAACTCAAACCTCATTAGTTTTACATGCGTGAATAGTTAGATTTTTTACCCTCATAGATTTCAACTGTTCTCCTTTTGGTTTCTCTGCGAATTCAGTAATCCTTCCTTCTTCATCAATCTTCATGAGGCCAAAAGCAGTTGCACGTTGCTCGTCCATCGGCAATGCAGCAACTGTGATGTCTGCATCTGTTTCTCTGTGTGCTTGAATGAACCTCTCATAATCCATTCGGTATAGGTGATCACCAGCAAGAATTAGGAACTCAAGAACATTGTGCTCCTCAAAAAGCCACAGATATTGCCTCACTGCATCAGCAGTACCCTGCCAAATAATATGAACTCATCAGCAATAAACACGACCCTAAAAAAATATTTTACTTTTGATTCCACAACTATTAGGGTCATTTTCTGTTTTGACTCCTGACTTGTTTTTTCTATTGTGGTGCACAACTATGGGTTGCTCCCAACTTTTGATCTTTCCCATCATTTTTATGGCAGAAATTTGAGTACAACTTCAAGTTGATTTTTAGCCGGATAAGTGATCAAAATGACGAATAGTGGCAATAAATTCATAGTTGTGCACTATAATTGAGAAATGATGAGAGTCTACCAAATGTGAGAATGATATAATAGTCTTGGGAACACAAGTGCAATGTTTTCATCGTCAAACTAGATAGGTAAAATGACATAAGAACAATGTGTGAATAACTGAATAATAACATTAACTTCTATGCACAACAGCCAAATTGAAGTGATTATTATTGAAGTAAATACCTGGAACCAATTGGGGTTCTCTGGACTTTGCTGAGCAGCAAGAACTTCCACAAAACCTTCGTTTTTGTATCCACCCAAGTTACTTGCATATGCCCGTGAGAGGTGACGATTAAGTGAAGCAGAGTTGAATTGCGTGAGAACATAAATCTTGGAAATATTGCTGTTCAAGCAGTTGCTCACTGGGATATCAATCAAGCGATAATTTGCTCCGAGTGGAACAGCAGGCTTCGCGCGCTTCTTAGTAAGAGGATAGAGCCGCGTCCCGGCACCGCCTCCAAGGATAATACCCAAGACACTCTGATAAATTAAACAGACCAAAGTCAGGGAATTAATGTCTCTTTAGTGCTAAAAATCAGGATGGAAAGATGTGTATGCTTCTTTTCGAAAATTGAGTGCTTGTAGTTTGTTCCCAACTTAAAAAGGCTTAAACATTGCTTCACCTAAGAAAAGCATACCCTCTTGTCTGCAACAAACAAATCATTCAACTATTTAGATGAGCAAACATACATTTCAACTTTAAAGTTGGTGTTCTTCCTATTGAATTCCTACTTCTGATATGTATAAAGATCCCATAGTCCCATACTATTAATATACAACAGCATTTTATAATATCCAACTCAAGGATTGAGAGAGAGATTATTTTCCCGAATTGAGACTAAGTATCACAAGATACTAATTTCATAAAAACATTCAAATAACCAAAACCACATTACCCGTGGTAAAAATGAAACAATTGTACCAGCTGCTTGACCATGAGCAATCTCTACAAATTTGCTCAGCTAAAGTCTGATAGAAAGAAGCACAACTATTGAATCTGGGTTTCTTGTTTATAATATAGTTTCTCATGAGTCACTTGGATCCCCCCCCCACCGGCCCACCCCTAGTGATTTGATTTGTTTTTCTAACACACGGAACCATTCTGATCAGTAAATACAACATAGATTTTCTATTGTGTGTATACATAAAAGAAAACGATAAACTGTATCTGAATTTGGCAGTTAAATTGAGAATGCGCAACGGCAAAACTATTAACTTCTTACTTTGCTAGCTTCAGGGTCGAGACAAGTCTGCGAATTCTGTGAATCGGAAACAGCCTTGGGCGAAACGATAAACGGAGCATTCCGAACAGACGAGGCTTTCTCTCCGGAACGCATCCGTGGAGAATTCAATGGCAGCAGCTTATCGCCGGAGAGATGAGAAGCAGCGAACGACAGTCTCCGGTACGACATCTTGCTGGCAGCAGCACCGTCGATCCTCTCTCCAGCGCCGGCATACAGAGATGGTAGAGCTCCGATCGCAGCCGCCATTGCGTCGCCGCTCTGAGCTCCGGTGAGGACTGTGATTGAGTGTGAGTTGAACTGTTAGTGATTCTGCAGAAATTTGGACGGGAATGAGCGGTCCTTATATAGCAAGAGTTCTCTCGGAGATTTGCTTTTACTTTTTGCCCTTGAACTTGTGAGAATTAACGGTTAGGCCTTCAAAACGAGCGTTACGCATTGGAATGATGAAGGGCATATTTGGTAGTCCAGGCGAGTGATTTATGGAGGAAAGGGGGAAAAGGGAAATAAGAGGGGATGAATCGATTAATTTGTTTTGTTTTTTTAAATATATGACACGATCACGTGTGGCGTGTGAAAATATATAGAATCGGCTAATTTGCACCGTCTGTTCATGTTTTTTCTGGCATTAAAGATATTGTTTTATTCACCAAATTATTAGTGATGGGGTCCATCAGGATAGCTGATTGAAGTAATACTTCTTTTATTCACTTATCATTTGTGTTTCATTTTGTGTGCTTGGAGAGTTGGAGCCACATGCAAATTTTTGGTAATAAAAGATAATGTAAAATTTTTAAATATGAAAGAGTATTGTTGGCTTTATAGGAACACTAATAGTCCGTTTGGTAGCACCAAAATCGGCTCATTTGGCTGATTCTCCTGAAATTTATGAAGTTCTGTCTGAAGTGGCTGCATAGGCTGATTCTGCTGATTTAAGAAAAAAAAATTTAAAAATATACTCCCTCCGTAACAAAAAATGTTCTCACTTTCCTTTTTCGTCTGTAACATAAAAATCTTCCCATTTCTAAATCTTCTCATTATGCCCTCAATAATTCTCAAAATAATACACTATTACAACTATTTTTTTTTTATTTATCCTACATTCCATCAAATTATTTCACTATTTTCGCATCATACCCTCAATAATTCATATTCTCTTTCACTATTCTTAACCTACTTACTTTTGAAATGAGAAGATTTTAAAGTTACGGAGGGAGTATTTTTAAATAAAATAGCTAAAATGGTCATCTACAGTAACTTCAGCCAATACAGCCGGAAAAGTAACTTTAACCATACCTTTTCTGCTTATTACACAATTCAGCGCGCGAAAGCAAAAGTTGCGAGTTTGGTGAAAAAGTTGGATGATAAGCCTGATAAGCCGAAAAACAGTGCTGCCAAACGGATTCTAAAGTGAAAGTCGGGTTAATTGAGCCTTATGCCGAAGAGAGAAATGATACGAAACACAAATTAAATGACAAAATTTTAAGAACAGAAAAAATATGAAGATGACAAGATTATAAGAAACTAAAGGTGTGTATTAATATAAATAAGTTATGTTTATTCACAAATTATGAGCTCGTTTGATAATACTAAAATTGACTTAATCTGTTGAAATTGATTAAATTAAGAATGTAGCGAATGAATTGACTTAATTCGTTAAATTATGAAAAAAAAATATTTAAGGCTTAATCTGTTATCAAAATATAGAAAAAAATATGTAATATGAAAAATAACTAAAATTGTCATCTACGGTAACTTCATCCGATTCAGACGAAACAGTAACTTCAGACAATTGTTTGAGCCAAAAAGTACTTCAATCTTACCTATTTTGATTATTACATAATTCAGTGCGTAAATTCAAGAATTACGTGTGTAGTATAAAAAAATGGTTGATAAGACTAATAAATTGAAAATAAGAGTTACCAAATGAGTTGTATAATATCATATTTTGACTTGGTCATCATTAATACTCGGTATGACAATATTTATGTCATCATTGAAAGTAGTTTTTCAAACTTGATAGAAAGTTACTCGTTTTAGGGAAATAGATAGTACTTCTATTTTACTCATATACTACCCCAGTCCCGTTGGAATGTTCCCGGTTTGACCTACACACATACAGAGTATTAAGGAAATAAACTTATCAGGGGGTAAATTTTACTGTTTGGACACTGTTTGACACTGTTTTGATGTAGGATAACTTTCCATTTAGGGAAATGAGAACTTTCCATTGGGACATCCAAAAAAGGAAAGTGGGAACATTTCAACGGGACGGAGGTAGTATATACTCCGTGAATCATTGTTAATGATGTTTTTACTTGGACTAAAATTTGTTGGTCTAATCTAGTCTGGTTTGTTTAAATCTGGTCAGGTCTGAACTAGTCTGGTTTATTAAATGTCTGGTCTCTGTGTATATTATAACTACAGAAGTCTGGCTAGTCTGGGACTAAAAACAGTCCAGGTAAAAACATCCAAAACTGGAATACCACTAATGGTATGTAGAGAGAAGACAAAGTTAAAGAGTTAAAGAGAGAAATATAGCACTAATCAATGTTCCTACAGATACATCTGCCCAATGAGGCTATTTATACTAGTCATATATGATGAGTGCATTAAATGCACGTAAATATGTAAACAAATCTATGACGTGACTATGTAAGGAGAATCAAGCACGTGATGGTGCATTAAATGCGTGTGCTGAGTGCTGGAGAGTGACAAGTCGGGGGTCCTTAAGACGAGGCTGAGGGTCAGGGGCGGACCTAGGAAGTTTATCTTGGAAGGGCAGTAACTTAAAAAAAATATTTTTTGGGAGGGCGGAAATTATTTTTTGGTATATATATATACTAAAATTTTTTGTTGTTGGAGGGGCCACTGCCCCCCTGGGTCTCTACTACGGTCCGCCCCTGCTGAGGGCACATGCCGGCGTATAGACGTCAAAGTCTTTTTGACTCGGGCTTGTAAGTAGTCCATTTTGCATGTGTGTTGTAGTCCACAGTTGTTGTTGCATGGCCCACCCGGGGTGGTTGCTGGCTTGCTAGGCTTTGTGTGACCCGTTGGGCCTGTTTTGTGTAGTATGAGTATGTGGGTTAGGGCACAGGACCATATACTTTATCAATAGATTTCTAATTCATATGCCTTTGCATATATGTCCATTCAAAATTTAACCTTTAAATTCAAAATTTCGAACCTACACATTTTTCACTTTTCTCCATTTTGCGGGATAATTTTTTTTCCGTATAATACTCCGTATAAATTAGGATTGTGTTTGGTAATTCAATAATGTGTTACATTCCCTACAAATAAAATTTTTGTTGGTGTGTAGCTCACTTGGTTGGATGTCCACCCCAAGTAGTCTTTCATTTATGTGAAGTATTGGGTTCAAATTCCATAAAAAAAATGAGGGTGTCTTGCTCCCGTGATTTTTATTTTTTTATTACCTTTATTTATATGTAGTTCAATGACTGCGGAAGAGGGTGATAATGTGGTTGGAGGAAAAATCTAGTAAAAGTGTTGTAAGGCGTTGGAATCATCTTCTGGAATTAGTACCAATAAAACCCGGTTTTGATTGGCTCTAGATTTACCGGCTTGTTTAGGGCTATTAATAAACTCGAGATTTATAGGCGTGTAAGCCTAACACCTAAATTATACGGAGTATAAAAAAAAGATTAATTTGAAATGTCAGACTACACTTCGAATTAAGCTTGGAGCAGTGAGAATGAGAAAAGGGGAAACAATGTTATTTGTCATTTATACCCTTGATATGATGATTAGGAAATATTTGCACTCATTCGGGATGAATAATAAGGGGATAAGGGTCAGATAGGGCCTCGAACTTGGAAAAAAATGTCAAATAAGGCCATATTTAGGATGCTATGTCCGGTTGACGCCATTTGGGGCGGTTCCCGGTGGATTTTTTTGATGAAATTTTTTGAGAATCTTATTCATTAAGTCTAGTTTACTCATATCAAATTTGAAGTAACAATTCAATCGGGAAGGCATTCAAATGAATTCTTGAAGATAACTGTGCTTTTAAATGCGCAGTTATTTTCAAGAATTCATTTGAATGTCTTCCCGATGGAATTTTTAATTCAAATTTGATATGAGTAAACTAGACTTAATGAATAAGATTCTCAAAAAAATTCATCAAACAAATCCACCGGGAACCGCCCCAAATGGCGTCGACCGGACAGAGCATCCTAAATATGGCCTTATTTGACATTTTTTTTTCAAGTTCGAGGCCCTATCTGACCCTTATCCCAATAATAAGTACTCGTGTGTTTTTCTTGAGCAATCCTCCTTCCTTCCGTATCCTACTAATTACTCCATCCATCCCGCATAGAACTCGACGTTTGCTTTTGACACCGTATTTTAGGAGCTCAATTAATAGAATAACAAATCTCTTGCATGAACTTTGACTTTTGGGGAAATTAATGTTATCCACTCAAATGTAAAAAATGGGTGGATAGTGAAGAGTAGTTAAGACATTTCATGTAAAAAAAAGTTGCCTGAAAAGTAAACATAAAAGAATAAACGAGACGTTCCAAAAAGGAAAGTGTAAAGATTTAAATGGGACGAGGGAGTGCTATAGGGTGGAATTGTTGGAGACAATATACACTTTGTGTCTTTCTAGCTAAAGTGACTTATTTCCACTTGAAAATATACCTACTTGGCAAAAAATGGTGGGGGCGCCCTAACCTTCCCCTGTATCCATTATTGTCTCTCGCTAGACAAGCCTCTCCCAAGAAAGCTCATGAATCATGATCAACCAAACGGGTTATGAATTAAGTGGTTTGAGAAGGAAATAAAGGTTTAACATGTTGTCAAGCACTTTAGCAAATGTTAAGAGTATCTGCAAATGTAGTTCAACGGTGACTGAGCAAGGGAGTTAAATTTAATCTCAGATTCAACTTCCAATAGCAACAATGAGAGCTTCAATTCATCCAATGTAACAACTCTTGTGCCCATCAAAGCCCCGAACCATTTCACTCAGAAATTGTTTGAGATTATAATTTATACCGTCATGATTTACCCCTCATCATTATGTCAGGTAGGGTCGAGAATGTTTCATGTTTGGGTGGGCGATTTCGCCTTTGATTAAGCAAATGTAAGAGTAGGTCTGAGTTTATATGAAAACAACAATAAAGTAACCATGAAGTACAATGTGTAATGCCATGGGTTGAAAGCATGACTCAAATAACTTGTCTCATGCTCACAACTGAAACGTTTTACACAAAACCGCATTTTGTCGCTCTGATCTTAATGCCATAATGGCTAATGGTGTGTTGTCCCAAAGTGGCAAGTTGCATGTGAGTCACA